AAGTTGTGTTATATTTATAGAAGAGAGAGGTAGCTTACTTAGAACTATACCTAGGTATAAAGGTAAAGTAGATAATAAAGAAAATTTTACACTTAAACTTACCTTTTCTACCTCTAAAATACCTTTACTTCTCTACTTACCTTTACCTACCTATAACTACCTATTATGTCTTATATATAATAGGCACTAAATACACTACGCTCTAGCTAGAAAGATACTACACTAGCTAGTTGCGCTAAGTAACTTAAAGATATAGCTATAACTCTTAGAGATAAGAAGCTATTACTCTATCTATTCTATAAGATCTTATATAACTTTATATAAAAGTTTCTTAAAGATATAGATAAGTAAAATATTAGCAAAGATTCTAGTTTTAAAGACGTTAATAGTGTCTCTAATAACTCTTTAAAAGTTCTGTAGAGGTAGGTCTAGAGTTAGAAGTACGTATTTACTAAGTTTAATAAGGTCTCTAATACTAGAGTATAGGTAAATATATTGTAGTTAGTGTATTTCTACTTTCTATTACCTGCGTCTAAGCTTTACTAATAGAAATAGATCTTTACTATTATTTTTAGTTTTATAATAGTTATAGGTAACTAAATAAAGTAGCTATATTAGCAATATGTACTTATCTATTTATCTACTTAACAAAGCTCTTAACTAGCTACTCTTAATTTACCTAGTTCTATATTAAAACTATTTATTTATATCTTTGCTAATACTAGTTATAGAATATATAGGTATTATTAATTTTTCTTTGTGTATGTATAAAGCTAAGACATTATTATAGCTTTTGTAACTACGTATAGATAGCTACACAAAGTAATATATTACTATATTATTATCTTAGTTAGATTATAGTTTCTACTTTTATTAATATTTATCTTATAAGTAGTAGTCTAGCACTCTTGCAGCTAACATTTAGGCTTGTATTATAGTAGTATTTACTAATAGCTCTATATCTATTACTTACTTCTATATTCTACTCTATCTACTAGATAATCTTCTTATAAAGACTTCTTTGTATAATAATATGCCTCTTTATATAGCCTTTGTCTTTATTACTCTTATTACTCTTATAGTTATATTAGGTATATTTACCTACTCTATACTATACGTTATTAACTATCTTAATAATATATCTAGTTTATAAACAGATACTATCGTCTTACTTAGAAAGCTCTACTAGATAGACTTCTATACATTAGAGATTAAATATTAGATTAGCTTAGCGTTTAATATTATAAGTATAGTGTATAGTTTCTAAGTTCTTTATATATACTAATTACCTTATACAGACTACCTTTCGCATAATTATTAGAACTATACCTTCTTATATTACTAATAGCCTTACTATTATACTTAATACTATTATAAATACTACTATAAAAGTCTATATAACCTCTGTCTATATTCTTTACGTTATCTATAACATCTTTAGTGTAGCTATTAGCTTCTATTCTACTCTTTATATCTAGTGCTAAGATTCTTAGATTGCTAACGCTATCTTTACTACGTTAGTTCTTGTTATTATTATAATGCTCTTACTTTAGGTTTAGATATTATTCTATATAATTAGGTTTCTAATTACTATAGGTGTGTAGCTTATTATAATAGTTATACGCACAACTCTAAAGTAGATAGTTATCTTAGTAGGTACTGCATACATTACTAGAATAGTACTTTACTACTCTTTGCTTTAATTAGTAGCTCTAAGTTAGTAATAGGTTATACTTAGTTGTAAAGCAGTAATAATAGAGTAATAATAGAGCGATGCGAGATGCAAGATACAAGATGCAATGCAGGTAGTCTGTATTAGAAAAACGCTTAGAGAATTAATTGTTACTTTTAGTTAAGGTATAATGCAGCTAAGGCTGCATTTAACATATAATTTAAATATATTAAGTATATATTGTAAGCAATAGTATATATATATAGAGATAAGTATAAGGTGCAGGGCCCCTGCAGCCTGCTTGCGAATAGGTGCAGGTAGGTTAAATAATGTAGGGCTTAGCGCGCTAAGCCTCCGGCGCCGCATTTAACACGTAAAAACATTCACTTCGCATACCAATCTATGGGTATGCTCTCATAACGATTGTAGTGTGTGAGGAATTTGGCTCAGATAATCAAGATGACAACCTGTGAGTGAGAGGATAATCCCGTGCTGCGTGGACCCATTACGCCACAGCTTTACCTGACATCCGCACTCTCACAGCCATGCATTCTCCGTCTCCATTCCGCCAATCACAACTTACTCAACCCTCGCAAACAACAACATGGGCACCACATGCTAGTCACGCAATCCCAATAGTCTGGAGTGACAGGCTGTCGGAACACGTCTTCAGGATCGAGGCCCCCAAAGCCGGAACCGCAGTCTCGATATCGGTGAGTTACGCGCGAATGCTACGTCGCACAGCAGCCAACCAGCCGACAGCCACACGCAGCAAAGCGCTCAACGCCGATAATTGCACATGCTGCAGGGCGCCGTCGATAACGTCGCCGATCTCGACTGCTTCGAGCTACGAAGGCGAGTATGCTGTTCCGAGCATTGGTTTCGCGCTCATCCTGATCGACGGAGGACTTACTCTGGGGCCAGATTCGCGAGCTGCGGTGGCGTGGAGACATGACTCGAGTTGACACGTGCAACGTTGAGCCTCACTCTTTGATGATCTGCGTTGTGCGCGTGGATGCCGGGATGTGTTAGTGTTGACATCTCGTGGTTTGCGCTGATCTTTTGGTGGTGGCGAGTCGAGAAACGCTTTTCTCAGCTTTCACCGGGTGTTCGCGATTTCAACGCAGCGCAACGCAATCGCGTCGTCATAGAAGGTAACGAGACTTTCTGCTGCGGGTGTAGTGTCTACCGGGATGTCTGCGCGCGCTGACAGTACGCCTTTTGGACTGCTTTTTTTTTCTCCTGCATTCCACATAGACTGGTCGGTCCGGAAGCGGTAATCCATACATGGACGCGGGGAAATTTCGCCGTCTTTTGCCAATGTTCGAGTACGATGCTAGGGCGTACTTACATGATCGTGGACTTCGTAGTGTGTCTCTATCTCGACTAATCGGTGTAGGCCATGTTGGAGCGGGAGTGGTAAAGTGACACGGCGTTTGTGTGATGATATGGCCTGATGACTGCATAGTGTATGTGCAGATATCTAGCTAATGTAGCCAAGACCTTTCCACGATTATGCATGTGCAGAATCTGGTACACGGGCGCGTATGTCGCTAGTATGTGTGAGTCTGGACAGGTCGGATACCTCAGAATAACATGGTCGGTAATAGCGTAGGCCCAAGGCTGCGTTGAATGGGTAGCTTCCTACCACTCTAATCCGCAGCAACTAGAACCAAAACCAGGCACACCGCCTTCAATGAAGTTGAAGTACTGTTTGTCGAAACTGTGAGGTACGCCTTGGACAACTTCTTTGAGCATCACGAATGCATTTCGATATTGCAGTGGTCTTCAAGTGCTGGGTAACTCGGCCCTTATTTCCTTGCGCTTCAAAGACTGTACGTAGAAACTGTGTCGGATTCACACGTAGCAAAGAAAGATAGGTACCCTGATATCCCCGTGCTATGAAGCAGTCAGAGCACAGACGCAAAACCAGTTGGCGGGCACATGCCGCTCACCGAGACACAATGGAGATGGATGGGTTGCCGTTCACCCTGAACGTTTTGGCAAGGCTGAGCTGCTGCCTAATCGTCGCAAGAACGCGGGAAGGATCGGAGTAAGCATAACACCTGATGCTGTTGGTCGGCTGTCCGACAGTGCCGATGGAACTCCTCCTCGTCAAAGAGAATGTTTATAAAACCATGTTCTATCGTGGTAATGATGGTAGTTAGAGTGCGCACGTCCGATCCAATCTGCCCGTAAGATAGAAAACCGCGGCACACCTCTTTGCCGAGTGTACATTACAGTCATCACATCACACACAGCTATGAGCATAGAAGAGCATGGCACTACTACTCACCAAGAAGATACCCGCGAATGTCGATACCCCTTGGAACATGATACCTCAGACACACTGACGCTTCCCGACGGGCGCAAGCTGGGTTACGCACAGTACGGGTCGCCTTCTGGCTATGCCATCTTTTATCACCACGGACTTCCAGGGTCGCGCATCGAAGCGGGTTCGTACCAGGATATCGCTCTTGAGCTAGGCTTACGAATAATCGCGGTCGATAGACCTGGAATCGGTTTGAGCACACCGCATCCCCAACGAACACTGTTGGATTGTCCAAGAGACCTACAATGTCTCGTCGACCATCTGCAACTCGAGAGCTACTCCGTCCTGGGTGCATCTGGAGGAGGCCCCTATACTCTCGCGTGCGCAGCAGCACTTCCAGCTTCGCAGCTCAAATGCGTATCCGTTGTATGTGGGGTCGGGCCAATGGACATTGGCATGAGAGGAGCAGACATCTTGCACCAGCTTGGCATCCCGTACGGGTGGAGGTACGCGCCCGTATTCCTCCTGAAATGGTTCCTAAGCCGCGATGCTTTTGGGCGCATGGATCTGAGCGACGAGGAGCGTTTTCAACGTGTGCTTGACCCCTCAAACCTCGCCTCAATCAAGGACCCAAGGGATCGCGAACTCATAGCGGATGAGGATCTCGTTCGCCTGATGTTACGATCGACTCGTGAGGCGAGGGCGCAAGGGTTCGATAGCATAGCGGTGGACGGGAAGGTGATATGTAGTGACTGGGGTTTCCGGGTCGAGGATATCAGGAAGGATCTGCCGGTGCAGTTATGGTATGGCAAGGACGACTGTTTCGTGCCTGCCAATCATGGAGTGCAGATTGCAGCGAGACTGGGTAGTGATAACGAAAATGTTGTTTTGAGGGTGGAGGACGATACGCATTCGACTATCTCGCAAAGGTGGAAGAGGGCGCAACTTGAAGCTATTGCGGCCGTGATGCAGAGGTGAGGCCCCGGTGGTGCCAAGCCCGTGCTGCCTCGGCTGACCCACTCTAGCCTTGCACCTCCGATTATCACGAATCTTCGCTCAATCACCAACACCGTGTTCTTCATCGCGATTCTTCCACCCCGCCCTTCTTATTGACGTCGCTCGTCCACCCGATTTGTGTCCTTCCATCTCTTGCTTTTGTGTACCTTCACTTTTTCTCTTCTGCGCAGCCTTCTTGTCTTTGGGCTTTATGACCTTGCAGTGCTCGAGCCATGATCTTGCATATTCCCAAAGATCGGTGGCCACTGCCCAAGGCCTTCTCCCGTACACCAATCCGAGTGCGACCACAATACAAACGGGTATGCCGATAGCCCAGAGATGCCAAAACTTTGGCTTCCCAGGGCGAAAGTCGTCCCCCATGCTGAAGATGCCAGCAAGCAGGGTAAGCGGGAAGACAACGGATGCGAACAAGCTAAGACGAAGGCCGAACTCGCCGTCTGAGACGCCTCTGAACGCCGCCCGAAGATTGGCGAGATCGTTCGAGACAGAGTTCAATGCTTCTGCGCGATCGCGCAAAGGCTGCATCCTTGTGTGTATTGTGAGGAAGTCTTTTTGCGCGTCTCGAATCGCGAGAGATGCATTCGCGTCGACACTTTCGCAGCCTAATTGCACACCGAGACGTTCAAGGTTGAGATACATTGCACGCCAGAAGTGGTTCAAGTGTCGACGCATGTAGTTAATGTCCTTGGCGATCTCGTTGATCTTCAGTAGGTCTTCCTTCCATTTCTGTTTACTCAAGTTGTCGTCGATCTGGGCTTGATAGTCATCGGAGAACCATTCACCCCTAGCGATGGTCGTATTCATAAGCTCAAGTTGGTTGACCCAGTGTTGAGCAACATGTTTCAGGAGGTAGTATGCTGCGTTGGACGATTTCTCATTCGTCTCCTGGATCAGCTCGGGAGTAGCTAGCTTGGTCCAGTAGAACACCATTTCATCCATGGCACTGGTAAGGTTCCGCTTCTCCCGGAAAACTGGAAAGTTCACCTCTTTTGTCCCCAAACCGACTTCGGAGAACATCAGTGGGGCCAGTGTGGAACATCCGTTATGGTACGGCCAGCTCTGATGTGAAGTCTCCTGGAGGGCATGGGATGCGCCCCAGTCTTGCGCTCGCCAGAGTGCTGACCTACTGTCAAACGGCTCTCCAGCTTGTAAAATTAGGCAGTCGTCCAAGGTTTTTCGGGTATTGCTGTCGAGTTTGATATCGCCCACCATCTGACAGTCGCTCCCTGCCTTCCCCGCCGTCGATGAATCATCAGCCAATTTTGTCGATGGTTCTTTGCATGTCGCAGCAAACGCAGGGTCAACCAAAAGAACCGCTAGAGCCAGCGCGAGTTAGCTACAATTCAGAAGGCGAGGTCGACACGAAAAGCTTACCATCCCATCCCAAGCCATCCGGTTTCCCGTCCGGCAGAAAGCTCTGCGATGTCCAGAACGACGCGCACCGTCTTACGAAAGCATGCCTTCGGTCAGGCTTGCCTAACGAAGGTATGTCGATATCCTTCCACCTTTCGTACCTCCGGCGATTCACAGCAAACGAGGTCTGTAAGCTCAGAACGTCTATCTTATTGGGATAGAGCAAAGTGCGCAGCTCGTAATAGCGCAAAGTGAATGACTGTCCAGGCACTGACATCGATGGCAATCCTCTATGGGGGATGGACCAGGAGTCAGTAAAGTTCCAGGTATTCATTTGCTCGCTGAAGACCAGAGGGTCGACGCCTAGATGATGGCCCAGTGCATCCACATAGTCCGGTTCCATATCTTCAAGGATGAAGAGCCGCTTGTGTCTCTCCTCGCGACTCTTATTGGCTGGCTTCTCCTTGAGGTACTCTCGGAGCGCAGCAGCGCTTTTAAAGCCACCTTTTTCCACCTCCACGACGCTTTTAGCCTTGAACTCCAAGCAATAGCATCGGCCCGGCGTACGTTGATGCTCTTTCTCGTAGTGTTGCCTGACAGCCTGACGGCCGGCTTCTCCCTCATTTGCTAGCTTTTCCAAGAAGGACTTGAGCGCTGGGAATGCATCCTCGAGCGTGTCGAGACATTGCAGATAAGGCTTTCCTTCGAAGCGGGGAGGAGGACTGGTACGTGGTCCGTTTTGTGCCGATGTGTCAGTCATTATGATAGGATCTTTGGATAAATCCATCTTGATAGCCGGACGATAATACAATGAGAGCTGACAAATACTTGTAGCGGGCCAAAAGAGCAGGCTGAGAAGGAGGACTTGCGCGATCAGCTCCTTTTCTTGACCGGATGCTGACAGGATACAAAGGCGCAGCTCAGCGCTGCGTTCGAACCCCCTCGCGCATGGTGGCTTGCATACCATTTCCTCTGGATTGGATACACGTTCTCAATGATGCGATTACGTCGCTGATCCCAGCAAGATTTCGGTGTTGCGGCTGAGCATGCTGCGCCCACTGTGGCTGCCTCAGCTGATGACCCCGCATAAACCCAGCCGCGCTTCCACATGGTATTGGAAGCAACGATACTCTTCATCGACCTTGACCTTTCCTTCGCAATTCTGGTGCTCGGGCTAAAGTCAAGTCTCAAGCGATTTACCATGGCGACTTCAACTTCATTTTCCCCGTCAAGTACCCTGGCGGATGACCCTGTCTCGCAGCCGCGGAGTATAGCACAGCCTTCTCCCACCGATTTCTTCGAACACGAATCACTCGATCATTCGCAACCTTCCATAAGGCTGCTAAAGATATCACGAAAGCTGTCGGCTGATGGTCTCATCCAATGTTCCATATCGCATACGACCATAGAACATGCGCCCTATCGTTGCTTATCGTACGCTTGGGGCGAACCTGAACCGAAGCAAGTTCTGTTGATGAATGCAAAACGTTTCTGCGTCCAACCGAATCTCTTCGAATTCCTAAAGATTACTAGAGCCGATCCCGAGCTTACGGCTCATACATATTGGATAGACGCCGTTTGTATTGATCAAGAGAACACGGTCGAACGCAATCATCAGGTCATGCAGATGGGGAAGATATACTCTGGGGCCGAAACGGTCATTGCATGGCTCGGAATTGCGTCGAAAGAGACGGTTCTACATTATCATGGAGAACTACAGATGAGGTACGATCATCCTTCTACTTGGAAGTCAAGAAGTCGTGTTGTCAATGCAAAAAGAGCCGTATGCAATGATCTACTCAATAACGACTATTGGACCCGAGCATGGATCACGCAAGAGCTCAAACTTGCGCGCTGCATTGTCGTTGCAATCGGGTCACTAACGATCACAATCTACAAGCTTCGGGAAATGATCAATCGCCTGGAAAGGCGTGGGGATGAAGCATTTGATCAAGTTGTCGCTCTTGTCAGCGGCCACAAGATCGTTGGAACCCCTTTAGCAGGCCTTCTGTTAACGTTTCGCGACAAGAAATGCAGCATTGCCAGAGATAGGATCTTCTCACTACTTGCACTATGCTCTGAGATCAATGCTATCAAGGTCGATTACGGTTGCTCGGGTTTTGAACTGGTGTACTCCATCATGAAGAGCAATAAGCAAACCCTCTGCGCGTGTTCCGCTCTCGTTGTTATGCAAAGTCTTGCGCCTGAAATCGACGACCTTCCGCCCAATAGCAATTGCCGATTCGAGGAGGGACCGTATGTTGAGGTTGAGACAAAAGGGACTGATTGGGTACATCTCGGGGAGAGAGATAAATGCGTTGCTCTTAACTACATTTGTTCTCGGGCTTTCGCGACGAAGGAGACGAGATTACTACCTGATGCGACCTATTGTGGACAGGAGCATGTCAAGGCGCTTGCAACAGCGCCAGCGCCAACCATTGAGTATCCCCCCTATTCAATAGAGCCAAGATACGTGCAACCTCTTGGTAGGAGCGTTGCTGCGATCGGCCTAGGGCGTGCAAGAATCAGGATATCTCTTTGGTCACTCTTTGATATATACGGTAAGAACAACCTACAAGAAACACGAGTCCAGCTTTGTGCGAGGTCATGGACGGGGACTAATGGAGCCATGACTTCAATTCGTGTAGGCTATGGCGACTGGGACATTAACGCTACCGGATCAGCACGGGAAAGAACAGCGTTCTGAAGACGGATCCGCGGGCTAAATAGTATAAATTTAGATACCAAGCTATAGCACCAATGCATACTCTATCGAACACATCTGCTCACTCCAAACTCTTAAGAATAGCAGGCAAAACCTCCACCTCCGTGAAATCCCAAATCGTGCTCGAACTCCCCGAAGCCCAATTCGATCCCGTCCAAAACGTATTCGTCATGCCTTGCAGAGCCACAAAACGCTTGTAAAAGCCATTCTTGATCTCGTCGACCGAGACGCTCAAGGCGAAGGGCGAGTGGTTGTTGCTAGTCTTTATCGTCGTAGATTGGTTGGCAGGTGGCAGATCGAGCGCATCGCGTATCCTCTGGACCGTGGCGAGGATATCGGAGGTGAAGTAATCGTCCGAGGCTTCCATGGGAGTGGAGTATTGCACTGAATAGAGGTTGTCGATTTCGGCGGTGAAGTAGTATGCGCCTGGAAGACCGGGGATGCCGAAGGCGGCTTTTGCGTCGTAGTTGTATAGAGAGACGCCCTGGGGGAAGCCAGTGTTGGCCACGACTGCATTCCAGTAACCGCTGCTGTTGAAGCAAGAGAAAAGGTCTGTTTCCTCCGTGTTCAAATCCAGGAACTGGTCGAGGAGGGCGACCTTAGGAGGAATGGTCATAAGAAGTTTCTTTGCGCGAATGGTCTGGGTGCCCGATGGGGTCTGGGCGACCAGGGTGACGCATGACGGGCTGCGTGTGATGGACTTAATATTGGCGCATTTCAACACAGAACTGTTCCCCGTCTCGAGTTTCTGTTCTGCGGCATCCCAGAGCGCCTGCTGGTTGTGGTTTGCTTGCGAAACTTTGGTCTTGTTCTTACGTGCTGAGACTTGCATGGGATTGAAGAGCTTCATCACGTAGAGGGTAGGCTGGGCTAGGATGTTGCCCATGCCTTGGAACTGCAAGAAGCCATCATATGCCAGCGCACCCAGGTCGTATTTTCGCAGGAAGTCACCCCAAGGCATCAACAGGTCCTCCGGAACGGGGTCAGGGAGGTGGTATCCACGGAAGAAATCGTCTGGGTACTGCGTGAGAAGAGCCTGGTACTTATCCAGAGCTACAGCAGAGGCGTTAGCGTTGACGACGGGCCATGAGGGCCCGACGACCGAATTTCGGAAATCGACTGCTTTGGGCTGGCTACTAGGCTTGAAAGGAGCTAGGGGAATGTTGAGGGAGTCGAACAAGTGTCGAACGGTGGTGGTATTGACGAGAACTTGGGTGCCGTAATCGAAAGTCTCGCCAGTCGCCGTGTCCTTGTAGGTGTTGGTGTGCCCACCCAGCCGGCACTCTTTCTCAACGAGCGCAACCGACTTTCCTGACTGTTGCAACCGGATGGCAGCGTGAGTGCCACTGGAGCCTCCACCGACCACGAGCACGTCGTAATCGTAATCATTGGCGGCAGCCAAAGAAAGGAGACCGGGCGCCACAGTCAATAACCCTAGCCGCTGTAATTGCACCATCGTGACAGAGGGTTTTGAGGAAGAAAATGAGAGGGATGTGGTGCGGGAAAGAGAAAATACGTAACTTTGGTACAAGCGATCCGAGGTCATAGATGAGGCGGACCGAAGACGGGACGACGGCGCTACTCATCTAGTTTCGGCGAATATGTTTGTCGTCTCTACGATGGCCTCGGGGTATACAACAAGAGAGCTAAATTCTAAGTTTGACTAATAGTCTTGTTACTACATCAGCGGCTGCCCTACTCACCGCTTCCTCATTTGTAGCCAACGCCTGCGCGGATGCGAATTCGCCTCGACCTACGGCAGATCCATCACTCTCAAGATGCAACACTCCAGAAGCGGAAACATTTATCTAATGGGCTGGATGCTGAGTTCCACACGCATAGAGCTAGCAAAGGACGAGCGAGTTCTGAGGCGCGTTCGCGCGGGTAGCATGGGACTGGCTTACGCGTTATTAGCCGGTTTCGAGTACGGAATGAAGGAAGCTGCATCAACATAGTTATTGTATTGAGATGAAGTCGCGAGATGTGGCTGCCACAGAGGACATCGGGAGGCTGGAGACTGGAGACTAGGAGACGTGACGCGCTGAGATGCGATGTTGGGAGTGGGTCGAGTAGCGGGCTACTCAACTCGCCTTACCAGCCTCGTGGGGCTAGCCCTGGGACCCACTTTCATCACTCTAGTCCGGCGGTGCCTACAAGAAGTCGCAATAGACGCCGCCGACGTCTTCTGGTGATCGCTTTCGAACTCTAACGTGACATCCCTGGTAATGCTTCTTGAAGATTCCTGACAAGCTCGATGCAGGAAACATCAATTATCGAATCTTCACGACCGCAGGGAAATGGATGACTCCATGGAAACAGCAAGATTGAGATTACAACGACCATCACTGTAGTAACCAAAGCCTCCGGTTGCTTCCCACCATGTGGTTTGTTTTCGGTGTATTGAGTGTAGTAATACCGCTATGCTATGTTTTTCTGTACTCCCATATCAGGAACGAAGAATGAGTCTATAAATGCAAAGACACTCGAAACCAAGGATAATGCCTATGATGATAAAGAGGGATAGGGGTATACCAAAAACGCCGATAAAAAAGATCCTAATACCAAGAGTCTGCGGTGCGCCAAGTGTATCTACCGGTGGAATATGCAAAAGTCGATGTCATCGATATAACCGCACAGCTACTCCTGCAACTGGTGCGTGGGGCAAGCACCCCGGCCTTTCTTATCCCACCACTCCTTGATACAAGTCTGAGACACATGTTAGCACCTTACGTTCACCGCACTGCTTAAAGAAAAGACATACCTCATGGAACTTGCACCAACAAACCAACCTAGCCATCTTATCCCCAGACTCAAAGTCTTCCAGGCAGATCGTACACTCGGCCTGTCTCCCCTCTTCATCAACACAGTCCTTCTCAGTCGCGACGTACGGAAACATGCCACGCGCGGCATGGCTCATTCGATTTGCGTTACTGGCGCCTTCACCATTACCTGCACTGCTCATACCGCGGGTGCGTTGAGTGGGCAGGCTGGCAGATGTTTGCGGCGTTAGTGCGGCTGTTGGGCCTGGAGAAGCGGAGTGTAGGGCGATGCATTCTTCAATG